TTTTCATATTGGGTTTCCTCCATATGTTTCTGTATTTGATTCTTTACTTCAGATGCTATGAGTTCAGAGAATTTTCTTTTTTTATTTCAGAAAACAATTCCACTCTGAGTTCCTCTATACCTTTCTGCTGTTGCTTATTTACTATCGACACTATTAATTCATACATTTGAGCTGAGCTAGTGTCCTCTGCACTTGTTCTGGGTGGGCATTCGGTTTCCTCCATATGTTTCTGCATTTGATTCTTTACTGCAGATGCTCTTAATTCAGAGATTTCTTGTTTTATTTCTGATCTGATTTTTTCTATACCTTTCTGCAGTTGTTTATTTCAGAAGCTCTTGATTCATTGATTTCAGCTGTGTGATTCCCAATTTTTTCTGTGCTAGTGTCCTCTGCACTTGTTATGGGTGGCCTTGGGGTCTGAGATTGCATTTTGCTCCTCCTCGTTGGCATTTTGTATAGCACTGTCTTCTGACCTTTGTTGTAGAGCTTTGGTGCACTTATAACCTTAGCACCTACTGAAATTCAGGTGCAGATCTACAAAGTTTGAATTTATCCAGCTATGCCTGGCTTGGGTCTGGCCACTGTGCTCAGCTCCTTCCTGCTGCCGCCCTTGGGATTGAACCTGTTGTACCCCTCTGGCGAGACATTCTGCTCCTGGACTAGCTGGGTGGTTCTGTCCCCTATTCTCTCTAGAGGGACTGCAGCTTCAGAGTTTCACCCCAGGCCTGTATGTCAGGCTTGAGCTGAGTGTGAAGGGGGTAAGGGGGAGTTGGAGAAAGGGTAAGCTCTCCCACACACTCACCGGACCTGGGGGTCCTGAGAACAGGGCAGTTCTCACTCACTGGGTGGGTGTTGGGGGGATGCGGAGTGGTGGGGCAGGTCCCAAGGGCGTGGAAGAGAACTTCACTCATACAGCGTGCTTGGGTTTGGGCTGGACAGTTCCTGTGGGCGCAAAGTGGTGAGTTCCTTCTAAATAAGCTTTTTGCAGAATTTTTATAGGCATATGGCAGTGAGGCATAAGAAGGGAATTTCAGAATAGTGGGAAGTCTCTTTATTATGGAAGACCGATTATATATGTGAGTTTTTAGGATAACTTCTGTCCAGTACATTGAGATCAAGATTGCAGGGTTCTTTTCTTTTTCTTTTTCTTTCTTTCTTTCTTTTTTTTTTTTTTT